ATCCTCACCCTTCCAACAATCCCTTTTCCTCCTAGACAGTTTTGCTTCTATTTTCATTCCCCCCTCCCATGTCTGTGTGTGTGATTTTATGTCTCTATATAAAGTCTTGGACCTATAGATGGGAACAAACCTGTTATTTGTCTTCCTGAGATTAACATAATTTGTTTAATATGCATCTTTCCAGTTGGATCCATTTTCATGGAACCAATGTAACTTTGATCTTTGTGGCTGGAAACTTCCACTGTATAGAATATTTTTTTATTTTCTTTATATATTCCTTTGTTGCTGGATTTTTTTCAAATTTTAAAATACATTCTATGAACATTACTTAGGCATTGGCTGCTGAATAAATTTCAAGGTGTTGGGTATTGGCTACTGCTTGAAAGAAGTGGATTAGATGAGGAAAATATAAATGATTATCCTCTTGCTGTTGATATTTACTCTCAGGTCTATGTCTATGTTTGTTCACTGTATTCCTCAGTAAACAAAATCCTGAGTTTACTAATGATGACAATGTGCCAAATTTCAAGGCAGAAGATTTATCAAAGCCTGTGTATTTTATCCACAAGGGCAACCAGAAAGCTACTATAGTATTGTTAAGGTCTTTCTCATTTAGCTTAATACATAGCGAATGCTTCTTTTTCCTTCTGCTTCTCATCTGAAAGGTGTGTGGAAAGTAACTTGAAAACGTAAGGGTGGAAAGCATCTCAAGCTCTTATTTTTAGGCTAGGCTAGTATCGTTCCTTCTGTTGTCTGGTTTTTTTGGTGGAAGAGGTTGTGGGAACTCTCATGTAGCCCAGGTTGGCCCTGATTTTCCCACGTATCTGAAAGTTACCTTGAACTCCTGGTCTTTCTGCCTCCACCTCTTTTTTTTTAATTTATTTATTTATTACAGATTTCTGTCTCTTCCCCGACAGGGAACCCTGCCTCCACCTCTTGAGCTTAATGCCATATACCAAGGCTGGTTCTAAGCTGGTGTAGTACTCTTAATTAAAGGAGCCACAGGGAGAAGGTTGGTTGGGAAGGAAAGCTGTTCAGACTGTCACACTAGCTAAGAAAAAACAAGGTATTTGATACCCAAAGGGGCACTTTGATCAAAAGATGCTTCTGTGTGAGTTGCCTATGACTGCCAAGAGTCCTAAATTTGAACTACTCTGTTCTGTTTGGAGAGTGGGGCTTCTATGTCTTGATGCATATTAACGTCACCTGTGAAGCTTTTAAGCGATGCAGATGTTCACCCTCCACATAAGCTGAGTGATTCAGAACCTCTACAGGGTGTGTGTGTGTGTGTGTGTGTGTGTGTGTGTGTGTGTGTGTGTGTGTCTGTAAACACACTCCAGAAGCTTAATAAGTAATCCTGAAGAATACCCATGACTAAAACACATTCCCTAAAGAATATATGCTTAGATACAAAGTGGGTAACTTGCTACAAACAGAAATTTCAAGGTCTTGTCCCCAGGGAGTCTTAGCAGCTACTGAGGGAACTGGCCTAGGAATTTGCATTTCAACTAACATATTCCAGGTGCATTATTCTGGTTGAAGAGACTTCTCTACATTCCTGTTAAGAAATACTATCATGCAAAGCCCAGGGCTTCCTGGTGACTATTTCGTGTGTTCCTTTACTAAAAGTTCCATAACATAGGTTCATAAACTCGGTGGGTTAAACCGACAGAAATTGATACTGTGTGTATGACACAAGCCTCAAATCCCAGCACTTAGAAGGCAGAGTCAGGACAATTTCTGCAAGTTGGAGACTAGCCTGGCCTTCACAACAAGTTCCAGGCCAGCCAGTGCTACATAGTGAAACCCTGTCTCAAAAACAAAATTATTCTCTTAGTCTAGAATGTTGCCTAGATGGCCACTAATGCAAATCCAAGCATCAGCTGGGAAACACATCCTTGGAAATTTGTAAGGGAGAATCCTTCTTCGCCTCATCTAGCCTCTACAGTCTGCTGGCAATCTTTCGCATTCTTTGGTCTGTAGGTCCATCACTGCAGCCTCTGCTACAGTCTTTTCCCTGTGTGTCTTAAAAGGACATCAGCCACTGGATTATGGCCAATACAATGACCTCATTTTAATTTGATTACATCTGCAAAGGCCTTATTACCACATAAGGTCAGAGTCACAGGTACTGGAGGTAAGAGCAGCAGGCACAAGGCCTGCACATGTTCAAATCAGACAAAATACCAGCACTAAAAAGGAGAAGTGGACACACCCCTGACCAAGAAGCTAGTAACAATTGATACCTGCTGGGAAAGGGGAAAATCTGTTTTCTCCAATGGAGTGTCACCGGGTATGTCAACCACACTCTAGGGCAAACTGTACCCAGGAGTAGTTGTCTAGACCAAAATGAATTCCATGGTGTGTGTGTGTGTGTGTGTGTGTGTGTGTGTGTACTTTTTGTTTTAATTTATTATTTTTGCCTTATGTGGTTTTTGTTTGTTTTGATTTTTATTTTTTCATTTTTTTTAAGAGAGGAAGAGAGAGGTGGAGAATATGATCTTAAGTGGATAAGGAAGATGTGAGAGGAATTGGAGTTTGGGAAGGAATCAAAATATCTGTGATAAAAAATTAATTTAAAAAGTCCTTCAAGCAATCAATAAAATAAATCTGCTTTATAGAGGGAAAACAATAGTTCATTCTCAAAGCTCAATGTGCAAAGAATCACTCGCATAGAATGTGTATTTCTAGACCTTGATCCCAGATAACCCAAAATCAAAAAATTATATACTTTAAAGTAGAGCAAGTATGTATCCTACACCATTGCATTAATGGTAAAACAAGCAGACTCTTTCTCTTTTGTTCATATCTTTTTTTAGTTTGCATTATACATTTTTTAAACTTTATTTTATTATTATTATTAAAAATTTCCACATCCTCTCCACCTCTCATTTCCCTCCCCCATCCCCCCACTTTCCCTCCCCCTCCCTCTCCAGTCCAAAGAGCAGTCGGGGTTCCCTGCCCTGATCCTACTACATGTACTGGCTTTGTGGGAGCCTAGTCTGTTTGGATGCTCACCTTCCTAGACCTGGATGGAGTGGGGAGGACCTTGGATTTTGCTCATATCTGAGCAAAATGACTTTGTGTCGGAAGCAGGAGCACTAAGTGTAGATCAGTGGTCCTCAACCTGTGGGTCTCCATCCCTTTGGGGATTGAATGACCCTTTCACGGGGCTCATTTATCAGATATCCTGTATATCCGATATTTATGTTATAATTCATAACACTAGAAAAATTAGAGTTATGAAGTAGCAATGAAAATAATTTTATGGTTGAGGGTCACCATAACATGAAGAACTGTATTAAATAAAGGTCACAATAATAGGATGCTTGAGAACCACTGGTAGAGCGACTAAGATGCATAGGAATCACCCAAAATATAGCAATGAAGACTAGGGAATATAAACTCAAACTGAAGAGTTTCACACTCTAGGTGATTGTGAGTAATGTGGCTTTGGAGCTATTTCTATTAACACTCATTAGATCTGATTTTTTAAAAAAAGGCAGTAGGAGGCTACTGTGGCAATCTGCTACTGTTGCCTACATAAGTGTGACAAATGGTGGCATTTTTTTTCTATTGTTTATTTTGGCCACTTATATTCAATGTTGATCTTTGAGATGGCAATCAGAACCATTCTATTTACACAGAGGAATATTTTTACCAAGGAAGACAGGGATTTATCCTACATCTTTCGGAAGGAGTCATTTCTTTACTCAGAATAGGCATGCCCCCCAAGTTCTTTTTATCTACAAATATTCATCAAGTGTATATCCCCACACCATAAACCTAGATGAAAAAGAACAATGTTAGGGAAGCCTGGATTCCTAAACATTCTGTGATTCATTAAAATGGCAATTGGCACTGGCACCTGGAGACCGAAAACCAAGGCTTGAAATTCAATGGCTGGCTTTCCAGTGCTTCCCAGTCCTGGCTGCAGTTTAGAGTTACTTGGGGAGCTTTGGAAAGTTAGCACTGCTTGAGCCTCATCCTGGACAAATAAAGTCTGAATCTCTCAAGTAGTACCTTGAAGACTGGTAGCCAAAAATCTAGGCTGGGGACCAGGGTCTGCATAATAATAAGAACACTAAGTAAATTTCATGATCTGTCAGCATAAAAAACACCATACGAATCTGGCCTAGTAATTAGCTCCAGTTTAGCAAGTGATACGATTTTGCTTTCAAATTTTTGTTTCATTTTGTTTTCTCCCTTTCTGTTTAATCTCTTCTTTTATTCTTTTGCCTTTTAAAGGCCATTTCCTGCACAGGAAAAAGGCATTTAAAATTATGTAAACTCATGGGGTTTTTATTTTAAATCTAATTTTCCTACAGAAAACTAATTTGTAATACCTATGGTCGTATCTATTTCAAAATAATTTGCCACCTACTTTTTTTTAGATAATTGAACCATTTTTCTTTCTTATTTATTTTCAGGAAAATTAACCTGTGAAGAATCCTAACAGTTGGATTCTCTGAGCCCTGGCCTGTTGTCAGCATATCTGAGACCCTCTCCAGCTGAGAATCAACAGCTCTGACAACCCTTCCCCTGCAGGATATAGTGAGGAAAGTCAACAAAGCTGTAGATGTTCATGCCCTATACTCTGACATCCTTCAACCCGGGCATCTGTGCAGGAACATTGTAATCTCCAACCTTAGGGAAGATTGACAAAGTCAGGCAAGAGTGCTGAAAACTTGGATATGCTGAGCCAGAGATAGACAAAACCTTTACCAAATCACCTCACAGGGGAACCCAATTAAAGCTACATCGTTAGTCTGAGGATCTAGATGAACTGTGGATAAAAAGGAGCCTTTTCTCCTTCTCGTAAAAACAAAACAAAACAAAACAAAAGAGAGCCTCAACAATCTAATATAATACATTAAGAGATTCTTGTCTCCATGCCAGTATTATAAAGTTGTTTCACCATATTTATTTTCACCAGTGTAAGATTACGAGTGTGAAAACTGACTATTTATTTGTTGTCTTAACTGACTAAGAAGCTCTGGTAGGGCTATTTGTGAGAGGTCTGCTTACTAGAGCACAGGGAAGTGTAACAACTGGTAAAGTAGAAGACTACTCACTGCCTTCTTGCTTATGCGCTACTGATTTTGGTCTGTATCACACTGTTGAAACACCACCAAAACATTCACAGACAGGCCAGGTGACTGTGGAATGCCTCAGGGGCAATAGAAATTAAATAGGAGCAAATATCAACTCAAGTCTTGAGTGATGACGGAGGCGCACTTTAAGTATCATGGAAATCTCACGGGGCGGGCTCATTTCCCCACTCTGGCAACAGACGTTGACACGACTTCAGACAAGTATTCCAACCTGTACATGTATGTAGGATTGTTTCTGAGCCTCCTGGCCATTCTTCTCATCCTGCTCTTCACAATGCTTCTTCGGCTCAAGCATGTTATCTCGCCCATCACCGAGAGCACAGAGAATGTTCCTCAGTTCACCGACGTAGAAATGCAAAGCCGAATTCCCACTCCTTAAAGTCAGAACGCTGGCGAGACTTCCTCGGATGTGAGCAAAGCCTGGAGGGGCTGATGTACAGGAAGGCTTTCTTTTTCTTGTGAGGCTTCGCATGTAGCAAGCTGCTCGTGTTTTTTGTTCGTCATTCTTCATCTTGACTGTGCTTGTGGGACATCTAAGAGGCTTAAGAGTCATTCTTTTAAAGGAATACGGCAAATAGCAGCTGGTTGAGCTGGTAGGTTTCCATAGTAACCAGAGAGCTCCTGAGCCCTGAACAAACCGCAGACCACAGAAATTCATATGCAGCAGTTGTTAAAATGCAAGATCCTTGGAAGCTGCAAACAAGAATTTCCCTTAGGATGTTCTGAGGACCCCCAAGAAAATGACAGGCTTTAATTTATTACTTTAACTCTAAAGAATTATTTCATGCATAACACAGACATCTCTTGACATGGAGCTAAATCGTGTCACAGGTGAATGGAAGGGATTCTTAATCTTTCTTCAAAAGAACAATGCTTTAATTATCATAGGCCTTCAAATTTCTCCCAAATTAAAGAAGAGATTTAAAGAGCCTGCTACTACTTAAGGAGAAATTTTGCAGAAAGTTTCCGGTGAATGAGAAAAATGTGCATATTATATCTATGTTATTACTATTACTGGACTTTTAAAAACGCAGATAACGGCAGATGTATTACTACAATCTGGGACAATGAGCTCCTTCCAAATCAAGGAAAAAATAAGTCAAACTTTTCTCATAAGGATTTTTGCATTATACATGCAGCTTCTTTGTCTTTTTCTCCCTCCTTACCCCAAAGCAGGATTGAGTTGCACATAAGTATGAACTTGATTTGAAGGTTGACTTGGCAGCGAAGACACAAGTGTCTATTTCAAAGCAGAATGAAATGACGTTGGGATTCTGTTACTGAGTGACTGTGACTTTGACCAAAGCATGCCAGCTTTCTAGGTCTCGAATTTTTCTCGTTGAAAACTATTCAGAGAGCTATTTCATTATCACTTTTTAGATATGACTATAAGACACACACAGACTGAAGGAGATAAAACTAAAAGTTACACTGCAACAAGTTGTTATTAAGATCAATGTCCTCAAATGTCACATTTGTCTTTCCCAGAAAATGCTCCTTCCTTCCTGATTGATCCCTGCCAAAAGCTGAAGTGTTTCACTTATTATCTATAAGAGAAGTATATTTTGAAAATTTCCATTCTAATGAGTAGCTCTAGTGTGCCAGTGATGGATAATTTAATTAAAGAAAACTTTACTTTTCAAAGTGAAGCCAAAGGAGACAAGTGACGTTTACAAATTCGAAGTTGCAAAATTGGTCATATTCTTACCGCCAAAGAAATGGGATGCCTGTCTTAGATTTTTACCTGCTTATAAAAAAAATCAGTTGCCCCTTGTAATTAAAGCATTGTCATTAAATTTCAGGGAATGCCCCTTGGGGACTGAGGTGATTGTGCAAAAATGGAATGGATGTGAAATTCATGGCAGCCGTGCCAGGCCTATGTCTCTCTATAGTCTGTAAGCAATTTAGATTGGCCCTTTTACTGTGATCTAAATCTAGCATGGTGGTGAAACTCCCAAGTGCTTTCTACTTTTATACACAGTCATTTGCCAATGCTCCCCTCTCCAAGGGGCTGCACAGCATGAAATCCCCACACGCAGAGCTAAATTTAGCAGCAATGCTGACTGTCACACCTGTTACAACTGTGCATTGTCAGGGGTAGCAGCTGCATTCTGCACCATTCAGAAGAAATTAGCAGGTAGCCTAAGATGTAGATAGGACTTTGGGCTTTATCTTTTCTGAAATGCAAAGACACTCCTTACAGGAATACCTACTGGTGATTTAAGTTGTGTTTATATTCAATACTCTGACTCCATGGACTTTCGAAATGTTTTACTTTTAACCATACATAGGCTACCCCAAGGAGGGCAATAGACCCAAGAACTTAAGGACGCAGGTATCCCATTATTTCAGGTTCTCCCTTTGCTGCCCACAGTATTTGAATGCACTTTACCATAGAGAAATCAGTGGCTGGATAAATATCAGAAATGGTTACAATTTCCACAGCAGTAAACAGGAAGCTCCTCAATGCCTTGCTGCTGAAGCTGATGGAGACGCAGCCTCCCAGTTACCTAACCACCACAACCCAAATTGCAGAATATTAAAGCTGCTTTGGAAGTACTACCTTGGGTGATGATTCCTAATTTATGATCAGGTTACTCACCAGGAAAACAACCACCCTCTTTCATCACAAAAACCCCTGTGGGATCCAGATCTTAACTGAGCATGAATCAAGGCACACAGCAGAGATTACACCAAAATAGCAACATAATCCACCACAGCTTCCAGTGGTTTAACATAAATGGAAATGCATTTAAGCAGAAGTGTCATTATGGTAACTCACATGGTGTTTAATCTTTAAGAAAATAAACTGAATGTTTTCACGATAGCGAGGAAAAATTCAAGTGTATTATATCCTTGAATGTATTAATTAGTATGCTACAGCTTTAAAAGTCAGCTATAAGAACCCATGGGCATAGTTTGAATTCATTTTTCTGTGCAAAATACAGACTCGGTGATTCCCTGCCCCATCCCATTCTCCCTCAAATTGCATGTGAACTGGGATATGAATAGGTAGGTCATTTACATGTATGTGTACTTTATTCTAAGAAAAGTTTTATTTTATTGGATCATATGTATATAAAAATGCTCATATATCAACAATTCATTGCAATGTAACATAATACAAAGACCACATGAATTCTCCAAATAGTATACATTAATATGGTAACTACTAATGATATATAATTGCATATATTTCAGAATTACTAGTCATATGAAACAAGGCATATTGTAAAGGGTTATGCACCATGTACTGGGTAACAACTGTTAATGTTAAACAAGGAAAGATTAATTTATCCAACCAAACATTTCTATGCATGCCAAATTAAAAATTTTGGACTTCAAAAGCTAATTTTGATTGTGTAGATATCATCATACTTACTAAGTAGGTGTAAGGGGTCCATTTAGTGCATTTAACTAGTTATATTAAGTAAGACATTTTATTCACCTGTGTTTGTACAAAATAGCTTTGTTTTTTTACAAAAATGAAGAATTGTGTGAGAAAATCGAGAATTCTTTGGTTTTAACTCAGTGATATTTGAATTAGATTCATAGGGTATTCAAATGGAATCATATTTATGTTAATATTCAGCATGTCACTTTGATCCTGGATAATAAGCGCTGACTGCTTTTGTTTGCTGATAACAAATGGCTGTTGTCCGAAGATGTAAATTGCATGGCATTAGCTTCTTCATCGCAATATAAATTGTAATAACTGCTACAAATTTCTGGAACTTGTCATTTGGAGGTCTCATTATTATTCTGTGTTTACTAACCTCCCAGCTATCATTCTTTTCCCACTTGCAAACTGATGGGCAAACTTGTTTATTTAGCACTAAGATGAAAAAAATCAAATAACATTCAACTATCAATGAGAATGAATATGAAGGATGACTGAGATCAGGCGTCTGAAGTGACATACTCTAACATACACACACACCAATGGGATATTTTTCTTAAAAGATTAGATTGATCAATGTTATGTATATATGTAGTTTGCCAGCATGTATGCAACTGCACCATGTGCATTTCTGGTACTGTCAGAGGTCAGAAGAGAGTTTCCTATTACTGGCACTCAAGTTAGAAATGATAGTAAGTCACCAGATGGGTACCAGGAATCCAACCTGGGTCCTCTACAAGGACAAGTGTTCTTACCTCCTGAGCCATCAATCTAAGGCAATAGGTTACATTTTAAATGGATCTTCCATTTTGTACTTTCATTTGACCCTCACAGTAACCTTATAAATAACAGTAGAGAAAGCATGCAGTGTATTTGACAAGACAGCACAGGAAGCAGGGGAGATTTGTAAGCTATTCATAGTAATTCAGAGACAAAATCAAGATTGCCCTGCACTTCTCTGTACTCCTACCTCGGCATTCTCCCCACACTTTGCTTGTGAGTATTGAATAAACATTTCAAATATATCCATTCTATAACAGAGTTATGCCCTAGGACTGATTAATTCTTCATCACAAGCAACTCAAAACAAATAATTATAATTCTGCCACTTGTTTTAGTTAGTCTTATATATGCCAGAGTGATCTCAAACTCACTATCTAGCAAGAGATGACCTGAAACTTATTATTCTTTTAGCTTTTATTGATTCTTTGTGGATTTCACATCATGTAGCCTGACCCCACTCTTCTCTCTGTCCCCTTGTGTCTGTCCTCTGCCCTTACAACCCCAAAAACAAAACAAAATTAAAAAAAAAAACTAACAAACAAAGCAACAACAACAGAAAAGGAGAAAAATCTCGATGTGGTAGCTGTAGTGTGGCCCTATGCATCACACCGTTTACCCTTTAGTCTGTTCATCTTGACTTGTAAGTGTTCCTTGCCATGAGTCATTGGTTTGGTTAGAGGCCTCTGGTTTCTTCTACACTATAGATGCTGGGCTCTCACTGGGACTCCTCTGGGATGTCCTGTTTTTGCCTTGTGTATTGGAGATCCTGAAGTTTTGGATCTGTGGATTTTTTCCTTTCACATGCTCCAACAGTTCATAGTTGAGGTGAATTTGGGCTAACTCATGACCCTGATTCTGGGCCTGAGTAATAGCTAGGTTGGTCAGCCAGCCAGCTTTCCCTCATTGTCACTATCCAGGCAGGCTCTTCAGCAGCATTTCTGGTAGCTCACTCAATGCAGCCTACAGCAAAGAGCTGGGCCAGTTCTCTTGTTCTCAGTACCTCAGGGATGGCTTTCCTGTGCCCCCTCCAACAGGGTGAGCTTTCGTGTGCTACCCAGGTGAGGAGCACTCCATGTTGAAGGATAGGGCCATCTTTCTTAAGTGTGGAGATTATCTCTCTCTTGATGGGCAGGACTTGCTCTCCTATTGCAGTATCCAACTATAGCAGGGTCAGTGAAGGGCAGAGCCAACTCAGCACGGCCCTCACACTTCAACAGGCATGGTTCTTATGAGCCCTTGTGGCAACTAGGGACATAGATATCAACACAAACCCCAGTTGCAGCAGGACCATGGACCCAGACATGGCCTTTGGCAGCAGCTCAAGTCCAGACATAGCCATGGACCTGGTGGTAGCACAGGTTGCCCAGATTCCTATGACCCTGGTGGCAGCATGGCCCTCGGACACCAACATGGTCTCAGATGGCAGAACAAATGCTGGGCATCTGCAGAACCCTCAGTAGCAACAGGAGCCGTGGACACCACTCCAGATACTGGCCTCTGCAGGGCCACAGACCCAGAATGTAGGCAGCAGGACCTATTATTCTCTTGCTTCCACCTGCCCACTGCAAAACGTACACCACTACACCTATGTTGTGCATTGTTGGATGTGAAACTCAGGGCATCATGCATGCTAGGCAAGCACTCTACTAATCGAGCTATATCTGTGGCTCCTGCTATCTCTTAAAAAATGTAATTGCAGTAAGATTCTTTACCAAACTGTGGGAAAGTTTATACAAAA